AACTAGAAATTAGTGGTTAAGTTGTATTTACAACACTGTTCCAGAACAGTTCAACCCAAATATTCAGATGTGTGCAGCGCATTTTATGGAGGACGAGGACTGTTTCCTGGGAGAGTAGCCTACAATGCCGGTGTCTGTTTCTATAAAGTGGGGCAATTTCAACTTTGCAAGGACAGCCTAGATTCTGACTCACAGCCTGTAAGTATGTTTTTATATTTAAAGAATTTGCCACTGACGATTCAAACGTGAGTTTTGGGCAGTGTAGAGTAGCGCTTGTTGTTTGTCGTTTCTCCGATCACAAATGCAGACATGGTTTTATGTTTACGCGGCGCGATACGCAACGCGTAAAAAGACAGTATAAGTCATTATAATCCGTAATTATGTCCCCACTGGATGCAACAAATGCCTCGTTTATAATGGGTTTTATTGGTGTTGTTGTCTCATCGCATTTTTTGAACCTTAAACCGCATAAACACATTTCATTACACCAAATACACAAAATAATGTTCTTTTTAGCAACGTCATATGACCCCTTTAATCTATATATCTGACCCATGTATAACTCTGCATAATCTATATGTCTAACCTATCTGTAACTCTATATAATATTTAAATCTAACCCCTCAGTGATATACATGGTAATAGATGGGTCAAATATGTAATCTATACACCTCTATAACCCTATTTAATCTATATATCTGCCCCCTCTATGAACCTGTGTTATCTATGTCTAACCTCTACATCTCCTCATTATTTGCTGTATTTGTAAATTTTACATTTTGTTAGTTATTTGACACTTTTGTTTTGATCCAAAGGATCTTAAAGTACATTTAGTACTTTGTGATGCTTATGCTTGGCTGAAGGGCATAATATTAATATAGGGCCAATGTAGTATGAGTCTGGATCTGTAACTGCTAAGATACCAGCACTTTATCTAAATAACCCATCACTCTTGATGGTGATAAGGTCATGTAGCATGTTTGTGTGACTGCCTTTTTAAAACAATAGGCAATTTTGACAAGTGCAGATTTATCCATAACTTATGACAGATTATGACTGACACTTTTTTACCGATTCAAATAAAAGTAGAATGTGTGCATATATGCATATTTTGTGTGTTTCTTCAGGGACCCAGGAGTGTAAGATTTTACCGTCGTCTAGATTTTTTCCTCCGGCTGAAGATCACTCTTTCTCTACTCGTCTTTCTGGTCAGCTTCCACTGCTTTCTATGGCTCCTTATGCATCCTTTCTTTTCATTTCATTCATTCATTCTTTGAAGAACTCTCTTACCCTCCCATAGACAGCAAGGATCCTTACACGATCAAGGCTCAGAAACGTAGCAAGGAGATCGTTAAACTAATCCATGTGACATCAGTGGTTCAACCGTAATTTTTCCAAGCTTCAAGAATACTTTTTGTGTGCAAAGAAAACAAAAATAATGACTTTGTAACAACGTTCATCGGTCGGGAAGAAGGAGGCGGGAACCGGCGAACATTTAACACTTTCATAAAATAAACAAACACAAAATAAAAGTAAAGCGGCAGCCCCTCGCGGACGACTGCCACACACAAAACACAAAATAAACTCCAGGCCTGGTCCTCTCTCGTCTTTCACTGTCGTAACTCCTCCTTTTATACTTCCGGAGCTCCTCCGTGGGACTCGAGACCGGTGAGTGGTGCAGGTGTCGCTCATCATCAGTTACTCCACCGGCCTCGCTCCGTTCCCACGGCTCTCGGCCCCGCCCCCACTCGTCACAGACTTTATTCAACAATTCGTGTCCTCCGCGTCACATACATATGACACGTATCACATTCGTAAACAACGTATATACGCGGATATGTTGTTTACGCTTTGATCTGAATGTAAACAATGTATGAATGTTGCTCATTCTTATTTAAGTATAGCACCTGGTTGGCTTTGTCCTGATCAGTGATGATTCCACAAGTACTTTGAGGTGTTTGACAACAGTGTCATCAGCGTTCATTCTCTGCTCACTGACCTTGTTCAGAGCAGTTCTATTCCTGTTCTCTGCCATAGTCTGTCTGCTCTCACTGTCCTGAACACATACAAACTCAAGTGGAGACTTGTCTTATTGAAGTGTAATAGGAATGTTGTCCGTGGTAACCTCTATAGTGATTTGTTGTCATTTCTGACCACATTTAAGCCATATAAACACAGTTCAGTTTAATTAAAGAGACTGTATCGACTGTGTTCCAGGTGCAGTTTATTGGTTTGACGAAGACTCTGTACGGTGTGTTCCATGGCAACGAGGAGGAGGAGAGTCTGTACCGTGCTGTGGCGCGAGTGACCAGTCTTCTGCTGCGTATGGAGGAGGTAGGGCGGAAGCTACAGGAGAGCAGCCCGCAGAAAACGCCCCAAAGTACACCCACCAGCACGGCTCAGCCAGAGACCTCCCCAACATTACCCACCAGCTCTGAGACTGAAACCCTCGCCGAGGGTGAAGGCGACCAACCCGAGTCTCCGGCCAATCAACAAGAAACTGCCCCATCCCACTCTGACATTACCCCGACCTCAACCTCGCGTCCTTCCACGCCCACCAGCAGTCCCACCGGAACCAGCAGCCCCGTGTTGGACACGCCAACAGACACCCCCAGCTCGCCCTCTGCAGTCAGAGACGGGGACTGGAGTTTCTCCTTCGAGCAGATTCTTGCGTCTCTCCTGAATGAACCGTCTGTCGTTCGCTTCTTCGAACGGGCCATTGACACAGATTCTGTGATCGCACACGCACGCAAAAACCAGCTTAAAGATGAACACTAACACACTATATCAGAGCAATCACAGCAAAACACTGCCCTTAAAGCCATAAACCCTCTCCCTTCCTCTTTCTCTTTTCTGTGCGACTTGTACAGGTCAGTGTTTGTGAAACGCTTACGTCCGTTACAGATGAGGAAATCGTTTTATTTATATACAGACGCACAAGTACAAATCATAGGGACCCCCCAAAAAATAATTGAAGTATAAAATGATTCAGATTGCACAGTATGAAGAAAAACAGGTATTTTGATGTAATATAAAAGATTAGTGTTCGATGTTGTCTGTGTAATATAAATGATTGGTGTGAGATATTGTGATATAATGTAGATGAAGGTATTATGATGTATTATAGATGAGGTATTATATTATAAATAATAGTATAAATGGCACGTGTGATTTGGGATGACGGCATGAAAAGGCTTTGCCTGCTTTATCCATTAAGTAACCTCGAAACAGCTCACATGCACTACGTCTGTCATTCCCAGCCTGACATGTAGGACCACAAAAGGAAGGATGATTGTAAGGGAAATCAACTGCTAATGGCTGAAAAAATTATATTGTTTGAGAATTCATTCAAAATATCTTGTTCCATAACACGTATGTCGCCTTACATTACGTACCTTGCTCGAATGAGCTATGAAATTCTTTCGTTCTTTCTGTAGAGACTTGATTAGGAATGCCCAGAATGGTTATGCTAATGAGGAGGCGGAGTTTAGTCCACATCATATCACATTCCACTGCACTGAAGGTCTGTATTATTCCAGATTATAGTCATGTAATTCTGATTCACTGAATGTGTTTGTGTCTACAAACCGAAATCTGTGGTTTATGCCTTATTGGTTTTTGATTCAGGACTTCAGTACGATCACAAGTGCTTCCATTTAATTAAAACCTATTTCATCTTTAAACATGTTTCGCAATCGTTTTGGAGATTAGTATCAAAATATATTTGAATTTTGTCATAAAACAAGAAGTATATTTTCTGTCATTATTTTACAGATTAAAAAAATATCATAGAGAACATACTGAAATGCTTTAGCAAGAAAAATATTTAGAACTGTTGTGCTGTAAATGATATGCAAAAAGTGTATAAGTAATTTTTCTGTCAGTTCATGTAGTCGAAGCTGTAAGAAACATTAAGTGATAAATCGCCTATCATAAGAGTTGTTGTATGATGCTTAAAATGGACACATGGATATGCAGAATCGTTCTTAATTTTGAATTTTGTGTAAATGTTGCGAGCTTGTGGTGGTGAGTGCAAGAAAGGGAAGTTGGTGTTTTGTGGTTATTCCGTTTGACGTGTCAGGTCTACACCAGCTAAACAAAGTTTTTCGTTCTGTGTGTAATAAAGTAATTATGTTCTTCTGAAGCTAAAGGCACCTCAGAGTTGGAAGCCGTAGTGCGTATTTTCCATTCGATTGGTTGGTCATCTAAGGAAGATGTTGTTTTGGTTTTGTATTCTTGCACACTAACCACAAAGTCCATAGAAATACTTGCAGAAGGAGTTGCATTGAAAGATAAATTATTAGTATTACATCTCAAGAGTCGCCCTCGTACTGTTCTTGCTGAACATTTGATGTTCGCTTCATGTACTTCAGGGTAATAGTGTGGTCGGTTTGATTTTTAGTTTATTTTTTATGTTTTTTTTTTTGTCTTAAATATATAACTTTGTTACAATCTGTTTGTGCCTCATAAACTGTCACATTATGAAAATGTAATGATAAAATAAAATGTATGAAGAAAGGATCTTCCCTCTCTTTTTCTCTCTATCTCTTATGTTGTTCTAGGAGCAACATTGATGTTGATCCAGGAACATGGGAATATCACAGCCTTCTGCTACTCTGAGAACAATATAAGCAGGATTTCCACAGTGCTGTCAATAGTGTGATCGATCCCAACTGCAGGCATGCAGACAGGTCCCTGCTGTGATCTGCTTCAGCTGCCTTTGATAAGCCACATGAGGAAGGTTACATATTTTATGACGGTCATGTTGGCACAGTTTGACATTGTGTCCTCTGACTCTTGCCACTATGGCAGCATCTGTTGTGAGACATGCACAATTTTCTTAAAAGGGGGAGATTGTAACCTGGGTCTTGACTTTGACCGTACATAATCCTTAAAACCATCGAAAGTGCTGATCATGAATCCCATTTTTGGCTTTGATTTTGTTGTAAGCATGCTCTAGATCGCTTCAAAATGAAAATGTAATGGCAAACATTGAAGATGAGCTACAAAGCTGTAGATTTATTATGCAACACATGGATTCCACACAAAATAAATGAATTTATAGCGCAATAATTTGTATAACTCTTTTCCATTGACTTCCATTCAGATAGAACAGCTTTTGATCTCCTAATTGGGATGCATCTAGTCGCAATGAAATGGAAGTATTAGCAGATATCGAAAAAGAAAAAAAAACTTTGTTCTTTTCGTTGGTTGTTGATTGGAATTTGAGATGTCTGAATTGGGGAGGGATAGGTTTAAGCAGATTTAATCAGAATCAGAATGAGCTTTATTGCCAGGTATGTTTTCACATATGAGGAATTTGTTTTCATGACAGAAGCTTCCGCAGTGCAACAGAATGACAGCGACAGAACAAAAACACAGATAATAAAAGAATAATAATAAAAAATATATATATAGAACAAGTAAATAAGGAATAACAATATGTAAATTGACAATTGTATGTGCAGGTATATTACAATAGACAGTTTTGTATGTACAGGTATATTATGTGCAAATTTGAGGTGTAGACTAAGTATGTGTGTTAGATAAATAATTGTATGAGTGTATAAATAGTGTTGTGTGTTTTTTTTGTAATTTTGGATTTCTTTGGGATGGGGATGATGGTGGAGCGTTTGAAGCATGAAGGGACTTTGCACAGCTCCAGTGATCTGTTGAAGATCTGTGTTTAGATGGGGGTCAGACAGTTTTCAGACAGGCTGGTGTCACACAATCTAAGGAAAAAAGCACCAGGCCCAGATTGTGTTATTTTTATGCTGTACTTATTGTATGCTGGACTTAATTATTAAGTCCAGCATACAACACCAGAGAGAAGTCGGCAGATCAGTTATGATATTTTAATTAAGAATTATGAGGTAAATAATAATAATAATTATAAAACATGTATGGATGAATTGTTCACACACAAAACATACATTTAGAAAATAGGGTGCATTTTCATTTCATGTCAGCTTTAAGCAGAGGTTGTAGTCTCCCTTTGGGAGAAGGTCTCTGGTCATGCAGCATTTCAAAATGTAAAAGATACTGTTTCAAAACTTTGGATACCACCTTATTTTTGCGGTAAGAGTGGGCGTGGCCATTTGTAAATATAATGGGCCTGGCTTCCAGTGTCATCCGCTTTCAGCTATTTTTAGCTGTACAAAACAGCTTGTTTTGATGCTTGATATTGCAAACGGGTGTGTCTTACTTTAATATTATATATTAATTTGATGTATTAATTATGAATACACTGGTTTGTAATGCAAACAGTTTTACAGTTAACTGCACTTTGTTATTCCTCTCGTTGTTTATTGGTTGTGGCTAGAAGGGATCCAGCAAAAAAAAACGGAAGCTAACAATAAATTACATTTTCTACCTATTAGATTGTGTTTTATTAACGTCTACACCTACCCCAACCCTAAACCTACCCCTTACAATAATGCAAAAACAGTCATTATTGTTGTACAAATGCTTTTGGCAACATCTTGAGTCAATCTGTACTCTTGCCCAATGTAACAGATTTAGCCAATCAGTGCTCCTTCCCGTCCGTCTGCCAGACCTGTCTCAGGTTTCAAACCGGACACACACACATACAAAGTGTCTCTGGGCACTTATTTTAGCTCTCTAAGAATAGTCTCCAGTGTTTATTTAAGCAGTAAACACGCACATAGCAACTTTGCTTTATATCATTCATGTTTACATGAGAATGTGGATGGTACATTCATACAGTACTAGTTAAAAATTAAACAGGCCATAGACACACTGTAAACACCTGGTTAAGACAGTCAGCCAAGTCTAGATGATGTAACTGTTGTAAGCTGTTGACTTGTAAAATGTGATTAGTGTTGCCACTGAAAAAAATATAAATTAGTTTTCCTCCACAGTCAGTCCGCCCCCTAAAAACCTCACAAAATTAAAACGTTCACATTTTACCCGTAAGTCTCCTAAGTATTTTAATGTTGGTAATTGAAAAGCATTTTTAATTAATTTTAAGTGATCATCCTTACGAAAGCCCTTTTCCGCCACGTAAGAAAAAAACATGTTTTGGTAAATCATGATTATGACATATAATGTTGAAATTATGAGATACTAACTCATAATTCTGAAATAAAAAGTAAAAAATATGAGATCAATTCATAATTATGGAAATCAAAATGATGACAAAATGTCAAAATTATAAGAAAAATGTTTGTTGAAATTTGTCACAATGACTCATAATTTCAACTTTTTTATTTTTTTTATGCCATGATTTGTATTTCATAATATACTTTATGCCGTAATTTTGACTTTTTATGTCATAACTATGACTTAATGTATCATAATTTCTACTTTTTGACTTACCAATTATGATTTATCAAAGCAAAGCTTCCATATGACTTTAGTTTATGATTCAATCATCAATCTTTTCAATTAATGATCAAGTTATTGCAATGTTCCCACAAAATGAATTCAAGTAAAGCATCACACCAATTTTCATTCGGACTCCCTGATTCTGATGTCACTCTAAATGACACTTTTATTCTTGCCATGCTCTCAGAGCCTGTGAGCGAACGAGGAGTCTTGTTTGCGTCTGGTCAGATTTTGAGGTCATCCATCCTGGTCTTGTTGTTGCTGTATCGACTTGAATGGCTGGGCCTGCGCTGCTGGCTTGGTGATCCGGGGACAGAATTTGCTGTTTTGTTGATCTTGACATCTGCGGCGTCCGGTTTCCCGCTGCGCTCTACAGCCATGTTCTCGCGGTTCTGCTTATAAACAGAGCGGCTGCCGTGTGGCGGGAAGGTTTCATCGGGTTCTGAGAGGTTGAAGTGTGGCTCTGTGGGAAAGGGAGCCGGAGGTGGTGCGTGAGGTGGAAAATACGGGTAGTTTGGCACAAACGGAACCACCGCATCCTCACTAGGCGCTTTAGATTCAGTGTCGCAGACAGAATGAGAGCGCCTGTATCGAAGACCCTGGCGGCATTTGGTGAAACCCAGGTGGTACATCTCCACCAGGTTGAGCAGCAGAGAAACACAGGCCACGGCCAGCATAAATATGATGAAGATGGTTTTTTCTGTAGGTCGTGAGATGTAGCAGTTGACGGTGTTGGGACAGGGCCATCTGTTGCAGGTGTACAGTGGCTTGAGCTCGAATCCGTACAGGAAGTACTGTGCCACAATGAAGCCCACCTCAAACAGTGTTTTGAAGACGATGTTGAAGACATACGTGCGTAGCAAGACTCCCTGCAGACGGATCTTCCCCTGTTCGTCACGTATGGGACCTTTTCCAGATTTGGTGCTCAAAAGTGCCTGTTTGTCCATCCCGCCCGCCTCGTTGTGTTTTTGTTTCTGCTCCATGCGCACCAGGTGCAGGATGTGGCCCAGGTAGATCAGTGTCGGAGTGGAGATGAAGATGATCTGAAGCACCCAGAATCGGATGTGAGAGATCGGGAAGGTTATATCATAGCATACATTCTGGCAACCGGGTTGTTTGGTGTCGCAGGTGAAACCGGACTGCTCATCGCCCCAAACCTTCTCTGCGGCAGCACCGAGCACCAAGATGCGGAAGATGAAGAGTACGGTGAGCCAGACTTTGCCCACCACCGTGGAGTGTTCCTGGGCACTTTCCAAAAGCTTCCCAAGCGAGTTCCAGTCTCCCATTACTGTTGAGTGCCCACCTGCAAATACACACAAAAATACCGAGATACACCCATTTTAATAAGACTAATAACCAGTAATGGCCAATAATCACTAAATGACATTATGATATGAAAATTCTACATTAATTAGTCTGAATAATAATTGGCAAAGGTTATCTAAATTAAAAAAATAAGGGAAATGAATAAGCACAATCCAGTCAGCCTTACAATACATCCCTACAAAAGGGTACAATACTTCCCTACAAAAATGTATACTCTTACTTATGTATTAACTTTTTCTTAAATTTAGGTCCAAAAAGAAAAGAAAAGGTCCAGCATGTATAAACACACACGTCTACTTAGTCATCTAAATGTGGACGTTCTGTAGACTTCTATTGAATATACATGTATAGTTAAACATACCATAACCTAATCATACCAGAAACCTTAATTTTTGCAAAAAAATCATTCATTTTTGTCAGATTTAGATTAATCCTGAGTCCAAATTTGTCTCCAAAATATGGTTATGTATTTATTTACATAGGCACACAGATACACGCTAACACACACATATATTATTAGTGGGGTGGGTTGAAGGTTCTTTGTCATGTTTGAGGGATGTGTTTGGTCATGTGGCCCTGAGGTTTCACTGACATGTCTTCATGCCTGAGCATGACCTGAAACAGGTGGACATACTTGACCCCTACACACACACACACACACACACACACATAAGGATCTTCCAACACACTTCACACTTTCTGTATTGCATACTGTCTGTTAACAGATTATCTTAAACTAACCATTAAAGCGTCTTAACTTTTCAAACTTTTTAATGCTATGGACCCCAAAAATGACGCTGCCCTTGCGAATGGGACAGCTATATATTTTATGTATAGAGTGAAAAAAATATATTATAAATTTGTCTCAAATATTACCTGGAAATATCTACTTTCCAGATAATATCTAATACAAAATATCTACTTTATATTAAGTTGACACTGACATCTTTTTATATCTTACTTGTGAGCAAAACAATTAGTGATTTGATTAAATAATTTTCGAATGATTTTCTGTTTAGAAAACTAAAATGAAATTCAGTCCTTTTTATTTTATTTTATAAATTCATTTATTTTTTGTTGCATGTCTCTGTGAACAATTCTGGAACTTGTCTGGACCTTAGTTTGAAAACCTTGGCCTTTATGTACATAGATTCCAATAATACATTTCTAAAAGTATTTCACCATTATATATGAATCTAAAAGCTCTCAGTTGAGCTATACTGTAAAAAATGACCGTGAATGTAACGGTAAAAGACTGTAAAAATGCTACAGTAAAAACCTGTTAAATGGTTAACGGTAAATTCCCCTACTATATACGGTGAAAAACTGTATTGGACATTACATGTATTGGACATTAATCTGAAAAGGTATTAAATTGATTTCATTCTGACAGATGCTATTCCTGTGCTGTCTTCACTCAGTTTGTGTATCAGCCTGTGTGTGTGTATAAAGGGAGTGTGTGAGAGTCAGTTAATTCTATAGTTTGAGACTCACCTTTCTTAAAAGTCCAAAGTTAGAATGATCCCCTCATACATAAATAGTAAAAAGTCTACAAGTCTGGACGCAGTGCTGTACTTCTTCTGTCATACATACACTTTCTTCTGTACTCCAACACGGGCTTAGCAGACGCTGTTGCAGCCGGGCTGCTGGGTGTTGCAGGTGAAGTGCGCTTTCTCATCGCCCCACACGCTCTCCGCCGCCACCACCAGAACCAGGATCCGGAAAATGAAGAGGACAGACAGCCAAATCCGCCCAATGCCGGTGGAATGCCGGTTCACGCCGCTGATCACGGCATAAAAAGACGCCCAGTTCATTTTTGGTTCCAGATCTGAAAGACGGAGAAAAAGTCCACTGTTATTAGGAAACACACACACACACACACACACACACACACACACACAACTCTGTATAGGCCTAGCTATCTTTGTGAGGACGTACATTGACACAATGCAATCTCTAGCTCCTTACCCTAAACCTACCCATCAGAACTAAGTGCCTCACCCAAACCCTTATCCTAAACCTAACCTTTACCCAATTATAACCTGATCCCTAAAACCAAGTCTTGACCCTCAAACAGGCCTTTAAAGGGGTCTCAGAAAGTGAGGAGCGGATCATTTACATTTTACAAGAAAAGCAAGTGCAAGGACAAAATACAACCACATCTACAGCAAACCACCCATAGAGAAAGTGAGTGAGAGAAAGAGATTTATGCAGTATTCAGCATTACCAGGCTCCGCAGGTGGTGTTAGTGGCATGGGCAGAGCCCGTGTAGAGGGGTTCTGAGACCCGCCGTGTCTCCGGTGTGTGTGTGTGTGTGTGTGTGTCTGTATGTGTTCACTTCTGTCAGATGGAGTGTCTCCAGCTTGCAGCAACCATTTATGAAGGCACAGCCACCCATGTGACCGGCGAACTCACAGCCAATTTCATTCTCCCATCACACAATGAAAGCGTGGGTTCAGTCACAGAACAAGAGTGTGCGCTTGGATGTGTGTATTTGTGTGATACAGGTCCCAGAGTACCTTCCATTTTTGCCTTTCTGCCTCAGATTTGTGTAATATTAAATGCTCTGACCTCACAGGACCGTGCAGCAGTTTTCTTTTTTTATACAAGCACATTCATTATGAAATCAGATTTTCTAGGTTTAGAATTAAATGATTAGAAGTTTAGAACTGTTCATAAGTTGGTTTGGTAGTTAGAAATGTGTCAACAGTTCGGTTGTGTGCCCCCCCCCCACTACTACTAGTAAATTGTGGATTGTGTTTTATTATTGTTTTCATGAAATACAGTGATAGATGTCATCATACAGTCTTAAAAATAAATGTTACAAAAAGTGTTTTTTTTCACCATTTAGAAGAACCATTTTTGATTCCCTAAAGAACCTTTCAGAGAACAGTTTTTAAAATAACCTTTTTCCCCTCTTAGTTTAAAGAGCAATAAAAAAAATTTTTGTACTATAAATAACCTTTTGTGCACTGCAAAGGTTCTATAGGTGTTAAAAGTTCTTCATGGAACTATCAATGCCAATAAGGAACCATTATTTTTTAACAGTGTAGAGAAAAGGAACATCCCGAACATACATCAGAAATCAACTTAAAGAGCCTCATGTCCCAAGATACTGCAGAACATCTTCACTTCAAATACAGATTTCTAGTTTCCCAGAGTGGTTTATAAAATAATATTTTTTTCCTGATTTATTACTATGTGTAGTATATTCCATGATCAATAAGTGGTTGTAAACTTTCTAAATTAGAATTAAACCAGGGAGATGGGTGTTTCATGTTGACTTTACTGGTTTGGTAGTTGGTTGATTATTGAGTTGCTGGATTGAACATGGTTGGTAGTTGATTACGACAGGGTTTAATTGGTAGGTTTAGTACTGTGTTTGATAGGGTTGGTATTTGGCTGATGTTTACCTGCGGTTGGTGAGGTCCCTGCGCAGAAGAAGAGGTTGAAGTCGCACAGGAAAGGGTTGATGTTTCCCCAGTGCAGATTATGGCGCAGTACCGGAGCTTTGCATTGCTAATCACTCGTGTCACGCTGTTACTCACCCCACTACAAACATCTCCACACAAAAGATGCTTGTGCTGCCCGTCCTTAACCATTCAGATCAGATCCAAGGCACACACCCACCAGCAGACACTGTGACGCAAATTATGTACAAACGCATTTACACATGAACATACACCAACTCACATACACAAGCTTGTACATAGGTCGCCTTTCACACACATTCATAACCATGTACATACAGGAAAGTTTACACATGCACACTGCAGGCTACATTGATCCAGTCTCTGTATGGATAAATTTGTTAAAACTGTTTTTAGATAGATGTATTATAATAAAGCACTGAAATTACGTCCATAACAGCAGCTTCAAAAGAAAAGATCATATTCATCCAAATGGCTATCCTTATTATCAATGAAAAACATAGAATTTATTAATTGCTCTTTCCTTTTGAGACGGTAAATGGCACATACAAGAATGTACTGTAGACTGCTTTGATTTCTATTAATCCAAGGGTTTTATAACAAACTTCAGCTGACTAGGAACTTATTACTGGAAATTATGAAATATAACCAGACTTTACGACTTTATTTGTCAAAAAAAAAAACGAATTGCCTCTATGTCTATCTTTACTTCATTTTGTCCATTATTTGCTGCTGTCTTGTCCAGAATGTTACATTGTACAGTCACTGAGGTTGTCCTTCTTTATTTTTCAATAATCAGTAGTTACAATTAAATCTGTTAAAAACACTGTTTGTCAGTGTTATGTCTATCAGCTAACACACGTTTTAAAGAATTTTTAATTTTGTATTAATATCAAGCTTTCATATTTTTTAAAAATTCATATTTAGTCAATAAAAGGCATTTCATTCTTTCATTTTTATTAACCCTAATCCCAACATCTTTTAATATTAATTAAGACATTGTTTAGTTCGTTTTTGTTTTATTTAATGAACCTTTTCATTAAAAATATAAGATAATAAATAAAGTTTTTTTTTTTTTAATACGTGGACATTCTTTTAACTTTCTTGGTTGTTGTTGTTGTTTATAAAATACATATAGTTACATTGTGCTCATTCTGGGGTTTGTGTCTCACGTTGTTTAATCTAGTTTTAATCTGGCGGAAGAACAGTCCCCACAAGGTGACCAACAAGCACGCGCTCACGGCCACAAACGCCCAACGCGCGAGCGCGCACTGCCAGCCCCACCTAGAGGAATTCTGGGAAGACATGGCAGCTTCCGCTGTTTGTGTTCACTGAGTTTCCGCACTGAACAGTCACTAAATTAACAGAGTTAAGTTAACTTGACAACTTTATCAGTGGCGCGGTTCGGGATGGAGGAGAGCGGCAGTGTGGACAGTGTGGAGTCGCTGTGCAGGTAACGTTACTTACCAAGAGAAAACACAAACACACTCTCTCACACATAGGCATTACCGAGTGAATATTTACAAGACTTGATTCGCAAACGCTCTGTATGAAAACCGTTTCTTTCTGTGCTTTCTGTGAGGAGCGCTGCAGCTAAGTATGATTATTTCTTTGACGGAAGGGATAGTTCACCCAGAAATTAAAATTCTGTCATTATTTGCTCAGCATTTATTTTGTTCCAAACCTGTATAACTGACTTTCTTTCATGAATCTGTAGTACATTAAAGTAGATGTTAGGCAGAGAATGACACCACTCATTTGTACTGTATAGTAAAGCAGATGTAATTAGAGGTTGACCGATAGTGGATTACCGATACCGATAGCTAGGTTGGACCACACTGGCCGATACCGATTAATCAACCGATAGTTAATATTAATTACTATATTGATCATTAAAGTTATTTCATAGTTTACTAATGTTAAACTCTATATGAAGCATAAAGACTGTATTAGAGCCACAGAAAGAGCACAATACATAATTCATAGCCTAGGGTGAAGTCATTACGTACATTAACAATGATTTGGGACAAATATAATGTAATTTAATGGAAAACTATGTGAATGGCGCTCTGTTCCGCGGCAGGATTTTCTGTCGGCTGCATTTAAATGCAGGTTTGAAGTTTCCCGCTCTGTGCAGCGCGCAGTGTCACGTGTCAAAACAAACAACAGGTGCTGTTAGTGATTTCCGCCTCTAGAGGCCGCTCTCGTACTGTATAATGGCAGCGGACCCTTCTCAGCCACTCCAGCAACGGACGCAACCCGGAAAACTATCGGCATTGATTTTTGCCGATAACCGATAGTTCCGCCAATCAACTATCGGTGCCGATTAATCGGCAAAACCGATGAATCGTTCGACCTCTAGATGTAATGATAGTGAATGATGGCTGAGGCTGTCACTGACTCTAAAGACATACAGGTTTGGAGCAACATGAGTATCAGTAATTGACGACAGAATGTTCATTTCTGAGAAAATGCTTCCTTTAATGTGTAAAGCTCATAGGTGTGCTTTAATCCGTCTTTATCCTCTAATGTCCTTTCAGCTCTACCACGACGCGCTCAGACCGCTTCAGTGGCACCAGAGTTTCAGACACAGAGCCGCGGGTCAGTCAGGACCAAAGTCCAACCCAGCACTTCTTATTCTGTTCCTAAAACTGTTGTATGCTCTGAACTGTTACTATAACTAAACCTCATATGTTTTTAAATTCCTTACAGAGTAAAGGAAAGGCAATTGAAAAGGTATGAAAATATAAATGTGAGCCTAAAGTTTGGATTAAGTCTCAGTTCCTTTGCATTGATCTCATGTTCTTCTGTGTGCAGGTCTACAAAGACCCCAGTAAAGGCGAACTTCCTCTTCTGCCAGAGGAACTGGTTCAGGATTCCGGTATTTGTGGTACATTATACTGACTTCCGTACATAATCCATTCTGATGGTTTAAATGTATCTGTTTATTGTGTGTGTGTCCACAGCTAAAGACGTGACTTACATTTGTCCGTTCATTGGGCCTGTTAGAGGATCTCTGACCGTCACTAACTACAGACTTTTCTTCAGATGCACTGACAGGGTAAGAGCCATGTGCTTATGTTGTTTCTCTATGACTGCTGGAGAGAATTTCTAAACTAAAGACTTCCATTACCTTATTTGTTGTCTAGGAACCAGTGTTTGGGCTAGATCTACCACT